CGTGTTTCCAACCGTGGAATAAGGTACACGCGTAAACTGGTTTGCCGATGCGTTTCATTCGAAAAACAAAGTAATTATACGTAGATAAAGATCGTAGCCGTTGGTCAAACGGAATGTGTTAAAAACGTGGAACAATGTCAGTCGCGTTATCAATGCTAGAGAAATTACGACTTCCAGCCATAGCTATATTGGTTTTATATCGCGTTATTGCTCACGCAGCGGCCGCCATTAGACTAATTGCATTTAATTGTCCAGCCCCCGTTTCGATTATTCGAAGAGTGATACAGCCTGACTGTTAAAGGAATAGATAACTTTCGAGTGACACGAAGTCGGTTAAAAATCGTTTAACAACATCTTTGCTTCACTCTTCGATTTACGCTTCATCCCAGAAACCGATCGTTTCGCGCAATTTCCATGAAACGCGAGTTAACGAGCGATGGGGACAAACTTTAACCCGTTCTACCTCGACCTGTCGCATATTTTCTCCTTTTTCCATCATTAAATCGGCGAAAAATACTGGGTGCTCTGAAATTGATTACCCGAAGGAGGGACTATGGTTTCGCGGAACAGAAATAAGTTCGGTATCTAGTTCAGCTCGGCAGAACGATACGATCCGACGTTTCCCAAGGAAGCGCGTGAGTCAGATGCAACGGAACTTCTCCGTTTTTACGTTCGCATTACCATAACCTTTCGAAACCTTCCGAAAGTTTTATCGCCCATGCCTCCCGCCATTGTATAACTAGGTTGTAACTACAGTTAGCAGAACTGCGCTGAAACGGCGTGCCGCTATCGACTGGTATTATCAAGTCAAGGACTACATTTTTGCAAGCACCAATTACGGTATCCATGGCTGACACACATCACTTAGCGACGAGTATCGAGAGGCTACGTCGGTATATACGTCGACCAAAGTCCGAAACTTTGCACGGTCCTAGGCTGTGGCAGTAGATTCAGGGTCGTCTATGATCAGACCTGGTCCGTGATAGAAATCGCATTAATCTTATCGCCTGACAAATCGTACAGTTCGTTTTATTTGCTTCCTCCGTGTATCCTTATTATTGCATAAAGTGGGAAACGAAAACATATGTAAATCGATTATAAATACTCGGTTAATTCCGATAACGACAGATTAATATTACATTACACAGAGATCATTAAATCATATGCATCTGAACTCCATTTATCAATTTCTATCGTTTGTCAAGTTCTATTTTCGTCACCTCGTTCCCGGTTTATTTATTTCCCTCGTATCTTTACCGTCGCATAAAGCACCGTGGAAAATAGAGCACGCGCGCGAATCGACGCGTGTACTCGAGCAATTGCGATAATCGACGCGGTAACAGAGGCGTTCCCAAAGTCACCACACTCCGGATTCGAAGGAATCCGCGTTATCGCGCAAACGAGCAACTTTACCGACACCCTGTAGAATTTCGTGGCGATCGCAAAGCGTCTCGGGACAACCCATCGACGACACAGTGGCGAACAGCTGGGCCGGGGAATCGGGAGAGGGAGAGAGTGTTCTCGGAGATCGCGGCTGGAATCGGTGGGAGCGTTTTCATTTAGACGTAGATTATTCCTAGATGCCTCTCTCATAAATATTAAACAGGCGGCGCGCGCGCTCTCGGATTCACGCAGGCGAAACGTTGTCCGTACTTTTTACTCTGAAACCTTGTCCCGGCTGCTGCCGCCGCTGTACCCGCCGCCCTACCCCTTTGCGTCTTTCCAAGGTATACCTAACGCCCCTTCACCCTCCGGCGACGATCTGTCGCTCATTGAGTATGCATCGGCGATATCGACAGGCGGGGGCTGTTACCAGAGCGCCTCATCGTTCCGCCGGGAGCGACGTCGGAAGCCGTTGCTGGCCCCGGCGACGTCAACGACGCCAGCAACGACGTCATCCTGCCTTCCTTCCTCTTCCTTTTTCCCCTGGTAAGGTTCGCGCGACCACCGGCTGACAGAAGCAATTTTTGCACTCGCACGGGGCGGCCATTCGACGTGGCTGAGTAAAACCACGCACACGCACGGCAATGCACGCGTGTTTATACGTTCTCCAGGATGCTGGAGGGAAAGGGATAACAGCCGGCTTGCCACCGTGCCGTTCCAGTGGCCATCGGCGTTATGCCTGCTCCGCACACGCCGCCTCCTCCTCCTCCTCTTCTTCTTCTTCTTCTTCTTCTTCTTCGTCTTCGTCTTCGTCTTCGTCTTCTTCTTCTTCTTCTTCTTCTTCTTCTTCTTCTTCTTCTTCTTCGTCGTCGTCGTCGTCGTCGTAGTCCTCTTCTTCTACTCGTCCCTCTCCTTGTCCTTCCTCTACCCCTCGCGTACTTACGTATTCCGTCGCGAGGCGGTGCTGACTCGTCACGCGCATTTGCATACATTTCGAAACGCGGACCGCGCGTTTTTTGCCGGAATTCTTGCTGCCGTCCGGTTACGGATGTCCCTCCGCGGCCGTGTGGCTAGACTGATTACGATAATCGACGTCGGCGATCGGAGTGTATCTTCTTCTCCCCCGAGAGTACCGCGAGGAGATTCTTTGCTCATCGGGGAATGGATCCTCGGTGCAGGTAGTTCGATCAGAACGTTGTAGAACCGAAAGAAGTTCTTGCCTCGGTTTTCCCAACGAGCAGTGTGTTCCGAGTAGCCCGTAGGGTTTCCCGGCGCAAGAACCGCACCGGGTACCATCCCTTCGCGCCGAAGAATCTACACCTGCGTGACGGCCATGACGGCAGGATACCAAGGGCTCGGCAAAAAAGACGGACGTAACTCGCGAGCGAATATCTCGCGGACAAAAGCCACGCAACCCCGTTGTTCCCAGCCCCTAGAGAGGCCCGCGCTTCTTCGTGTGCCGCGTGTGTTGTCACGCTGGTTGTAAATATCGATAAACAAAGCCAGCGGCCAATGGCGAATGCTCGGGACCAGGGGCCCCGACGACGAAATAAACCACGCCGGGATGAGGTTTTAGCGCTGGCCCCTTTGTCGGGCGCCATCTCCTGCGCGCAAGCACGCTCCACTTTTTCACCGAGCAATTAGAAAGAGATTTATTTGCGCCGGCACGCCGGGCGTACGCGCGCCAATAAGACGGGGCCGTGGTGGTGAAGAAGGGAAGCCAGGCGAGTGTTCCAGTAGCGACATATTTTTCGGCCGATACCGCACCTATCTACCTGTACACGCGTATATACGCACGCAGCCGACGTGCAGCGGCCATTTTACACGGTGCACACGTACGCGCGTGCACGTGCATTCTTCGTGTATATATCTCGCGTAGCGTAGCGCCGACCGATCCACGTAGACCGCGAGCTTCAACGGACCGATTCGCCTTACGAAACGTGAAACAATGCCGGGTACCAGTGGTGAGTTTCTTTCGAGGTTAGACGAACCCGCGCTGCGGTTTTAATGAACTCGTTTTGACGTGACGACGCTGCCCTCCCCGTCCGTGTCCCCCTTTCTTTCTCCTCTTTCTTTCTTTCCCGTCCATTCTAGCCACCCCGTCTTGCCTCTCGCGCGCCGCTGCCTCCGGCTCCGTGCTTCACGGACCCGACTTAGTTAATTAAAGTAACCGTACGGTTTTTGATTGACGCCCAAGGCGTAAAAAGCCGCGGACGCGGGTACCTAGCCAGCGCTCCGTCGCCGGTTACGCAACGCCGTGACACGGAGGGTTGACGCGGCCAACGGATGATACGAGTGTCGCGCGATCATCGACCAGAGTTCCAGTTTCCAGCGTTAAAGTTTCAGCGAGACATTGGCGCAGACAGGTGTAACGTAGCCGATTGAGTTTCGGTGAAAAACGTAACGTCGAATCTCGCGAATTTCCAAGATAATCGCGCGGTCCCGACTAGGGATTTTTTTAAAAATTAGCGATTTTTTCGCGCGTCCGCCGACTTTGGAGTACATGAGGGCTGCGCGAGGGTAATTATTCGCGCGAGGAGCGAGGCAAGGCGGTTTTGCGACGGGGAATTTCCATACAGAGTTACCACTCTGGATTGGCCAGGAAAGGAAGGACGAATTAAACGTTACGTTGACCGGGTGAAAAAAGCCGATCCACCGCTTCCTGAATTTTTTAACGTGCAGGGTTAACGCGCGCCGTTTACCTGTACCTCGTACCCGCAAAACACGCGGAACGTTCCTCTCGCGTCTGTTCCTCTCGCGCTGAGCGCTCGCCTAGCCGAGCTTACGTAAGATCGAGCAGCGCGTCACGTGCAAGCGGCGCACGTATAGATCGCGCCAAGACACAAAAAAATACCGCATGTGCAATCCTAAGAGCGGCACAGGCGCATTAGTATCCGCCGCACAGGCCGAACTCGACGTTCCGCGCGCGCGGCGTGTAGGTAGAAGACGGGCAAAAGAAACGATAGTTACGAAACGAGCAGTTCCTCTCTTCGTTTTTCCCCATTTTTTCCCTTCTTTTTCTTCCTCTTCTTCTACTCGTTTCCCGTCTCTACGTTTGTTCCGTCTTGTACCACGGTCGGTTTCGACCCGGTAGCGCGACGGCCATGCGACGTATTATGCAGATTGCGCGTAGCGTGTGGCCGAACGCGATCGAAGCCGCACAATGTAATCCTTCCTTCCTTCCTTCGTCATCGATATACCCGCGTTGCATACCACCGTGGATAAAACAGAGCCTGCCGGTGCGCGCCCCTCTCGCAAAATATATATGTATGCCAACCGAACAAGCGTGTATCATTACGCGCGGTGCGTACTCGCAGAAATTCATATCGGGCTCTGTAATTATCGGATGTTTGACGGACGGAAGGACAGCGGCAACAGAGACAGTGAAAATTGCCGGTCTCTGGCGATCGCGGCAGCGTCTCGGTCCACGTTAAATAGTACATCAACCTCGGTTGCGACGTAGCCTCTTCTTCCTCTTCTTCTTTTTCCCCGCCGCGAAGCCGCTTTTCTCCTTCGTTTTTCCCTCCATCGTTTCGGTCTCTTTCGCCAATAGCCACTGACAACTCGCGAAACGAGTTTCACCCGACCTGATCGTTCCCGCGCGATTTTTGTTGCAGGTGAAAATCTGGTTCCAGAATAGAAGAAGTAAATACAAGAAGATGATGAAGGCGGCGCAGCAGGGCGGCGGGGGCGGCGGAGGCCAGCACGGCAGCCTTCTAGCCGGTGGAACCGCT